CTGCAGGGTAGGGAAAGCTGGGACCTCCTGAGTCCCCCATATCTCTCCTCAAATTCTATCACAGCCACAGAAACTCGCACACACAAGGGGAGGGCTCTGTAAAGAGTGGCAGATTGAGAAACGCATAATGACCTTCCCCTTCCTCCTTTTACCTGGTGTTAGTTGCAAATGCCCTGACATGGGAGGGGGGTGTGGGGGGTGGTGTGCCGATGTTAGGACTGGTAATCTATGAACTCACAGGAGTCTCATTTCTTGATAATCTGAAAAGATAGTTGATCTCCTATTTATTTATGTTGAACTATGCTAAAAAGTGTATAATGGCCTCGTTTGGGTGCCTCCCATCTACTCCTTCCAAATTTACACATACATACGAGACACACACACACACACACACACACACAACTTTTTAAATGGTCACAGCAATTTTTCTTTTTAAGATGTGAGACTGGGACACCTGGGTGACTCAGCAGTTGAGCATCTGCCTTTGGCTCAGGTCATGATCGGGGGTCCTAGGATTGAGATCTGCATCAGGCTCCCTGCATGGAGACTGCTTCTCCGTCTGCTATGTCTCTGCTCTCTGTGTGTGTGTGTGTCTCTTGCGAATAAATAAAAACTTGGAAAAAAAAGTGTGAGACTAAGAAGCTTGCTATTAAGGCAGGGTGGAGCTGTTCTCCCCTACAGCTCAAACTGTTTGCCTTGGTAATCAACCCAACCTAGTAAACAACCCGAAGCACAAGTTCAGCCTCTTTGTGAGCCAAATTCATCAATTTCAGGCCAAAAATACATGTTCATATTTGCTGACACTATTTAGATAGCTTATGTAACAATCATTGACTCAGCTGGGTAGATGGGCTAACCGTAATTATTATAGCACTTTGGTAGAGAAGATTTTACAATAAGATGGAATTTTAAATTAATACAACTACCTGATGCAGCTTTGCAGAACTCGAAAAATCCCCAAGCCACAAACATACTCATGAATGACAGATTTGCATTCTCTACCCACACTTTTTGTCCCCCCGCATTAATAACACTTAGCAAGCCCAGACAGGAGTTTGCCTGCGGGGAAAAGAGACTTAAGTTTCCTTAGCTATGCACACTGATGAACAACTTTACCTAAATGTCATAGAAGTGGTTATGAAACTTATTCTTTATCTCGCAAACACGGCACCCAGTAAAGTGACCTCCCCTCTGTGTGAACTCATGAATGTCCACTGTACTAACAGCCCAAGACTGTGAAGATTAACTACTGCACTGGAGTAGGCACCAAGCAATGGCAACCGTTATCAAACTCAACACACCCAATAGAAAGAGGACAATGATAAAGTGGACATTTGCCTGAGCTTGGAGGGGGTCAGGTTGCGGGGAGTGGGCATTGAGAACCTGACCTATGGGCCTTGCAGGGAGACAGAAATTCTGCCCAGGTGCCACTGGGAGACAATGGTGAAACCAGCAGCCAAGCCAGTGCCTCCAGAACATTCTTCTATGCCTTGGGGGTGCTCTAGGGGCACCCTGCCTACTGTTCTTCTTGTCCCTCAGGCTCAAGGTCCTTCCATGGGCAACTGCATGCATAATATCATCCCTTGATCATTTAAGTGAAGGATTCCTCACTGTGTTCCCAAGACTTTGCCAAGTCTCAGGTAAACGGGAAATCTACACCTTTTCCCCACACTTTTCAACAGCCATGGGACATTCATAAACTTCCCTAAGCAGAAGGCAAGGGGCCTTACATTCACAGAAGTGGAGATAAAATTGAAAGATAAAGCCCTGGCACCTATATTTGGGTAGGATTAAATGGTTGAGAAATTCTTACCAGGGGTCATGGCTCTGCTGCCTCTGTTACTAGGCAAGACCCTTTACTTTTCTGAACTGTCTTTCCTCATCTGAAAATACTGTTTCCTCCTAGCTCTTATTTTGTCTGAATTGAAACTTATTTAGATTATTTTCATGTTACCATATTGGCCATTTAACTTAACAAACGTGTGTTCATCGCTGTGCCTCTTTTTCTAAAGCCATCATCCCTTCATAAATTGTACAGGATGTATCTGCTACCACCTTGTTCTAGCAATGGAAGTTTCACGTTTACTTTTTAAGGCACTGAGCTCACTTCTTGGGACAACTCCTAAGCCAGGAACATAATGTGGTATATGCTTTATGTTGAATTAAAATGAATGTGACAAGAAATGAAAAGAAAAATGAAATTCTCAAAACCAGAATAGGATTTACCGCCCCCTGTACCAGAAGAGTTCACACCTGCTTTCTGGTTTTTCTCCTGAAAACATATTTGTGCTAGTTTCATCATGGACTCCAACTTCAGATGCCTCCACCCAGTCCTCTGAGGATCCGGACACCTGACCTTGGCTCCCAATCTCCCCATCCATAAATGAAGCAGGTAGAACCTGGACCATAAAACCCTTTCTAGAAATTTAGGTCCCAATTGGGACCCATTTTAAGTTGCACTGTGTAGTGGCCAAAATCAACACAATCCCCAAAAGCATGATCTAAGTTGGCTTATGTATTCATGAGTCAGGACTAAGTAATGCCAAATAGTCTCTCCCGAGTATTCAGTCTCCCAGAACCTCAGGAAGCTCCCCCACTCTGTGGTCCTTCTTATCGTGCCAAACTCACTTTTTAGCTTATTCATTCCCTTGTCAGTGTGTCTGGCTTATGCTTCTGTGTTCTGAGCCTGCTGAAACGCCCACTCTACGGCTTTCCCCCACCCAGCCCCAAGTCCCTGGTACTTGCAATAATCTGTTTCATCCTCTTCTAGGACAGTCTCTTTCTTTCCTTCCTTCTTCTTTCCTTTCTGCTTTTTTTGGACAGAAGATTGACAAAGAAAATTCTAACATATTTAGTATGCAACATGATAACTGGATATACATGTGTTGTAAAAGGATTATCCTCAGGGTGCCTGAGTGGCTCAGTTGGTTAAGCCTCTGCCTTCAGCTCAGGTCATGACTTCTGCTGCTCCCCCTGCTTGTCCTCCCTCTCTCTCTGTTGTGCTCTCTCAAATAAATAAAATCTTTTTTTTTTTTTCAAAAAAGCCCTTGTCTTAAAAAAAAAAAAAAAACTCCCTCATTGTGTTCATTAACACAGCCATCCCCATCATCACCTCACATATTTACTTTTCCTTTTTAAATTTCTTTTTTTTATGATGAGAACACATAAGCTCTACTCCTAAATTTTAATTATCCATTACAGTGTTATCAACTACAGTCACGTTATACAGATCATCGGAACTTATTCATTTTGTAAATGAAAGTTTGTACCTTTTTGCCAGCGTCTTATTTCCCCCACCTCAAAGCCCCTGGCAATCACTTTTCTATTCTGTTTCTATGAATTTGACTTTTTTTTTTCCTAATTCCACACATGAGCGATACCATGCCATATCTGTCTTTCTTTTGTGGCTTATTTTGCTCAGCATACATGGCTCCATCCATGTTGTCCCAAATGGCAAGAATCTTATTTTTATGGTTGCATGATATTCCAGTGTATGTGTGTGTATACACACACTCTATCTTCTTTATGACTTAGTGACAGATAGGGCATGGAAAGATAAGGGAAAGGCCCCAGGGTTGGGCTCCCATAAATCCCAAGGACACTGAGATGCAACAGAGATAAGGCAATAAAAACAGATAAGGAAGTACATCTGGCCCCTGCCTCCAAAATACTAGGAAGTATCTTCCCATCACGTAATCACCAAGACTCAAAACAAAATCTCAAGGCTATCAACTCCTTAATCAGGTTTTCTATAAAAGGCCAGCCAAAAAAGCCCTCAGCAGCAACCCTGTCCGGACCCTCCTCACTTCTGACGGCCTTCTCTGTATCTTTACTTAATAAACTCCTACAGCTTTACACACTCTCCTTTGTCCACGAGATTCATTCTTCGACTGGGCGAGGCAAGGACCAAGCCTCTCCGGCTCCATTCGTCCATTCATCTGTTGGTGGACACTTGAGTTGCTTCTAGATCTTGGCTGTTATGAATAATGCTGCAGTGAACATAGGAGTGCATATGTCTTTTCGAATTAGTGTTTTCATTTCCTTTGGTTAAAATAACCAGTAGTGGAATTACTGGCTCCTAGAGTTCCGTTTTTAGCTTTTTGAGTAACCTCCATACTGTTTTCCACTGTACCAGTTTACGTCCCCACCAACAGTGAAGGAGGGTTCTTTTTCTCCACATCTTCTCCACCTTTGTTGTTTCTGAGTTTAGCCATTCCGATAGGTGTCAGGTGGCGGTGTGGTTTTGATTTGCATTTCCACGATGATTCAGGACAGTGTTTCTTCAAGAGGGGTCCCCGACTGGTGGGTGATAAATACTGTAGATTCCAAGCACCCAAGGTACACTCCCTGATTCAGAATTCAGAATTTGGGGGGGGGGGAGGTTGAGGCCCCCCCAAGCTTCCCTGATGATTCTAAGCATAAGAGTTTGAAATTCACTGCTCCTTCACCAATTCCTTTTGGGTTTAAATTTTAAGGCTAAAGGTAGCCTTAGAGACTTTTGCCAGGAGTATAAGAGGAAAAAAGAAAAAAAGCGGCGCAGAGGGAGGACACTCAAAACTCTACCGGGGCACGTGCAGCGCGGGAGATGAGGCCCATCCACGCGGGTCCCTATCTCCAGGCACCGCTGGAGAGAGGAGCAGTCCCGGCCGCCCACGCCCAGGTCCCCCGAAACCACTGGAAAGTCGGGGAGCCAGCCGTCCAGGCCACCACCGAGGGGGTCACCAAACCCGGGAAGGGAGGGACACCCCTTCCGAGCAACGCAGACACCGAAGCTCCAGAGCGCGCCCCAACGTGGGGGGGTCCAGGCGGCCTCCCGTTACCATTGGCAACGGCGGCCGGCTCCCTAGTCGGCGTGGCGCGGGTAGGCGGGACTTCCGGCCTCTGGAAGCCAGTGCGCATGCGGCGGTCGGTAGGTCACGCGGAGCTTCCTGTCGCGTGATCTTGAGGACCAATAAAAATGCATCATTTCGGATCACGTGCCTCCGTTCCCATTAGCAACCTGAGGCTTCTAAACAAGCTGCCCTCCCGCCGCATCTTCTGCGGCCCAACCGCCCTCGGCGACCCCGGGCTCGGTGGATCTCCGCCTGGCCTCTCCCGCTCCACTGGGCTGCGACTCCCGCCGCCGCCATGGTAAGTAGCGGGCCGGGCGCCGCCGCGCGCGGAGGAGGCTCCGACCTGGGGCCGTGGGAGGGCGTGGCTGCAGCCGGGCGGAGCCCGCTCCTGGGCAGTCCTGGCCGGCCGCAGCCCCTCCGGCTCCTAGCAGCCTCTCCCCGCCGCGTCGTGTCGTTCCTCGCTCCTGCCTGGGCCGGCCGGCCCGAGTCTCACCTCGAAGATGGCTGGTGGAGGGAGCTGGAGGGAACGGCCACCGGCAGAAGGCGCAGGGCGGAATTCTCATTCCGTTCCGAAAACTCCCAAGTTTTTACACACACATACACACACACACACACACACACACACACACACACACACACACACCCTTTGGCAGCATGAACAGTTACGTATCATAACGGATTGAGGAGGGAGAACGTGATGGAATCCGGCTGTCAGATGCGAGGGCGACTATAAGAATCCACGCCATCCGCTTTACAGCCCAAGAAACTTGGGCGAGCCTTCTTTTGTTTTGACCTGTTCCGAAAAGGCCAGTTGTCCCATATGCTAAAACGCCTCCGTTCATCTTTCCAGCAGATGTAGAATGGCAGCTTAAATAGCAGCCCTACTTAACCAGTGCATAGTGTTCAGAAGAAGGACTGAAGCCAGAGTTGGGGGCACCACTGACATGGGCCACTGAAATACACCGGCAATGAAACGAATGGAACATTGTGGGTCAGCTATATTTAAAAAAATATATTTTTAAAATAAATAAAAGCTCTCAGATGATCATTTTTTAAAAAGAAAGAAAGAAAAGGCGCAGTTGGTTAAGCATCTGCCTTCAGCTTGGGTCATGATCTTGGGGTCCTGGGATTGAACCCCACATTAGGCTCCCTGCTCAGTGGGGAGCCTTCTTCTCTTCTCCCTCTGCTGCTCCCCCCCCCCCGCTTGTGCTTTCTTTCTCTGTCAAATAAATCAATAAAATATTTTTTAAAAAAGAAAAAAGTTACTGGGGAGCTTTGCAAAAGCAATTTGAGTTGCATATGGGTTTAAAGAGTAGGAGATAGCATGAGGATAGGAAAGTGGAAGGGGGGGATCCCTGGGTGGCACAGCAGTTTGGCCCAGGGCACGATCCTGGAGACCCAGGATCGAGTCCCACGTCGGGCTCCCGGTGCATGAAGCCTGCTTCTCCCTCTGCCTGTGTCTCTGCCTCTCTCTCTCTCTCTGTGTGACTATCATAAATAAATTTTTAAAAAATTAAAAAAAAGAAAGTGGAAGGGGCCTGGAGAAACACTGGGGTAGCTAGAGGGATTCTCAGGTTTGAGGTGGTTTTTGTTTTGTTTTGTTTTGTTTGCAAGAATGAGGTTTATCTTTATGGTCTTCCCTATAGTCTGAAGGAAAAAGAAACTTGTAGAATGTTGAGAGGGGAGAATAATTGGTTAGGCAAGTCCTCCAGGAGTTTGGAAGAGAACCCATTAAGGCCCAATGAAGAAGAAGTGACCTTCGAAAGGAGGTCTTTAAGTTCATTTGTCAGCAGGTGTCTGTTGCTTGTGAGGCACTGTGCTTAGTTAGTACTGGGAACGGGGTACCTCAGGGAACCGGGTGGGCAAGGTCCTGGCCTTTAGAGACATATGTCCTAAGGAAATTGAGACTGCAGGGAGGAAGTGTGTGGATGCAGAAAAGCCCCCAAGAACATCTTGGGAGCTGAAGGAGATCAGGCCCGGTGGCCTTACTGTTGGCAGTTGTGTTAGTGTTAGTGTTGGTGTTGAGACAACCCGACCCCGTGCACCCATAGTGACAAGCCTGAAAAAAAGAGGCTCGGAAGCTAGACCTAGTAAGCCTATAAGATATGATAGATCATTATTCTTAAAATAAAGATCATTCCTGACTCATTTAGTCCCTGCATTAGGTGTTCAGTTGTATAATATACTTTTCAGCATAGCTATAAGATGAAAACTTCATTAATCTCTAGCTCGTAGTTGTCAAGCTCTCATCTGGTTTAAAATAAAGACCCAATTAATAACTATTTCAAAACCAAATATATTTTTTTTAAAGCTGTATCAGCTAGGATAAGGTTAAGTTGGTGTAGTAGATATCCAAAAAACAGTGGCTTAAAGAACACAGAAGGGTATTTCTCTCAGGTAACGGCCATCTCTCTACTCATCTGAAGTCTGTAGGTCAATGCTGCTCCACAGGATCAGTCAGGGATATAGATCCCTTTCATCCTGCTGTCTGTCGAACCCTTAGGGAATTATCCTCTTCAAGGTTCAGCAAAGTTACCACCCCTCCAGGTAACAGAGAAATAGGTGTGACAAAGACATGGCCACATCCTAAGGCTCGGGCTTTGGAGATGGCCCACATCTCTTCTGCTCACATCCATTACTGATCAGTAGTCATGTGGCCACACCTAGCTGCAGGAAGGGCTGGGAAGTATAGTTGGGCAGCCATTTAACTGGGAAGAAGGGAAGAACAGGATCTGGTGAACATCTAGCAATCACTACCACTGGACATCTTGTATATTTTCATTGTTAGTTGCTTCATCACATCTTAAAGACTAACGATTCTTTCTCTCTCTTTTAGGCAGAGTTGGGCCTAAATGAGCACCATCAAAATGAAGTTATCAATTACATGCGATTTGCTCGTTCAAAAAGAGGCCTGAGACTCAAAACTGTAGATTCCTGCTTCCAAGACCTCAAGGAGAGCAGGTATCAGAGGAGCCTAAGGACACCCACGGGGAAACATGCATCCTTTCTGGGATCTGTAATGGGGATGCTGTAGCAGAGCCCATACAAACTGTTGCTGGGATTATCCTGATCAGTTACTCACTGAGAGTAGCCACATCACAGCTCATGAATATGTGAAATTCAAGAAATTGGATTATTGTGGTGGGAGCAATCTATTACCAAACATACACATATGATAATTATGAGATTGCAGAGTTTCAGAAGAACTGTCCAGAAGTAGTGAAGTACATGTACGTTAATGATTGGCTTGATGTATTAAAGATCCTAGAACTTTAATTACCTGAGTTATTAATTAAAGGATTAGAGCCATAAGGCATGGCTTTTAGTGAGAAAATCCCTACAGTTCATATTGAAGAAATCATAGCGGGGGGGAAAAAACAGTAGAAAACCGTGAAAAGCCATAACTAACAAATTGTTAGTAGATAACTAGTTTGGTTGAACCAGTCATAGAGTATAATTAAAGTCTGTAGAAAACGCAAAATACATGTTTAATCTAGAGAAAAATAGGGGAAACAAGAAAAGAAAATGACTAATCAAGAGACATCAGATTATTTGGGGATCAGACTTTGGCATGGTTAAATGCACAAGGCCTCCAGGTGAGCTACAAGTGTCATAAAGCCATGCATGACACTCAGTAGCAGACACTGTCAGCTGTCCACTGTTATCTGTTCAACCCACTAATGTAATTTGGTCAGCTGGTTTCCTAACCCCCAGCAGATGAAAGCAGCAGGTTCACTGGCCCAACTGTAAATCAGAGAAGGTACTTCAGTGCTTACTTTATACACTGAGTACCTTAAATGTTCATAATTATAAACTTGTGTTGCAAAAAAAAAAAAAAGTTCTAAGGAGATTTGGTATGTACTATTAAAGAATATAGGAAGATTGGGCAGCCTGGGTGGCTCAGCAGTTTAGCGCCGCCTTTAGCCCAGGGCGTGATCCTGGAGACCCAGGATCGAGTCCCACGTCGGGCTCCCTGCATGGAGCCTGCTTCTCCCTCTGCCTGTGTCTCTCCCTCTCTCTCTCTCTCTCTTTCCCTCTATCTGTGTGTGTGTGTGTCTCTAATGAATAAATAAATAAAATCTTAAAAAACATACAAGAAGATTGTTAATATATCGAATAAGGATTTTCATCAAAAATAGTTAAAAGTTTTGATTTTTTTTTTAGACTGGTTAAAATCTAGTTAAATGAAACTCTGAAGAGTAGTAAATCAAATACTGTCTACTTGAGACTAACTCCGATAAGACTTTGTCGCCCTTCTCTTCATCATCGTCCTTTTGGAAGAAGAGAAGCCAGGGCTGGGGCCCATTGGTCCTCACCCCCTGAGCAGCTGGGGGCAGGTGGGGCAAGGAGAGGCTTTCTCCCTGTCAAACTGCCCTTGAAAGTAGGAGCCGTGCACAGACGCTTTCCCAGGATTCAGCAGTTGGGCCTGTTGCTGAGATTGCTGGAAATGATTGTGGGGCTGAGTCATGCCCTGCGGGATGAGAGACGTGTCACCTCCCCACTCTGAGCCTACATTCCCAATTGTCACATGAGAGGATGGAAGAAGATGGCTCTGAAGTTCCCGCCCGACTCAAATGTTCTGTGGGAGAGTGGGTTTTAATGCTATTGTTGATGATAATGAGTTGACAGTGCTCAGAGGAACTTGAACTAAGTCCATTTCTTTTTCATTTGGGCCTTAGTGCTAACATCTAATTACCACTGATTTTCTTATAGCCACTTGACTCACATGAATAGTTCATACAATTATTGAAATGCTAGACAAATAAAAGAAAGAAAGGAGAAATAATACCTTCCGGGTAACTTTTGAAACTACTAAATATGGTAAGAGTAATTGTAGTAGAAATTCAAGTAAAAAAAAAATTTAAACTGAAAAACTTAAGAAAAAAGTCAAAAGTTTGGAAGTTTGGGAGGACTATTTCTGAGCATGTACCTGTTTTTAGAGAATGTGCACTCCCACCATTTGCTCATTTCACTAGATATCAAAAATCACCCGAGCTTCAACAAATATTAGCTGAGCTTAAATCATTTTTGGTGTGTTTTATTAATAAAGAAGATAATTCCCCAAGATATTTTTTTAAATATTTTATTTATTTATTCGTGAGAGACACAGAGAGAGAGAGAGAGGCAGAGACACAGGCCGAAGGAGAAGCAGGCTCCATGCAGGGAGCCCGACGTGGGACTCAATCCTGGGTCTCCAGGATCAGGCTCTGGGCTGAAGGCAGCACTAAACCGCTGAGCCACCCGGGCTGCCCCCAGAGAGATTTTTCACTCTAAACCCTTAAGCCCTCAATGACGTGAATGTGGGTTTTCTTAGTTTTGTTTTTATTTTGTCAATGGTCGGGGTTGTTTATCCAGAAGTCTGGGACTGTGGTTGTTTTTCAGGCTAGTGGAGGAGACCTTCACCGTAGATGAGGTCTCCGAGGTCCTGAGTGGGCTGCAGGCTGTGGTCTACAGTGAGGTGGAGTCTGAACTCATCAACACGGCCCACACCAACGTGCTACTTCTGCGGCAGCTTTTCTCACAGGCCGAGAAGTGGTACCTCAAGCTACAGACAGATATCTCTGAACTCGAAAACAGGTACTCATATTCGTACCTGCAGTTAGGACAAGAGAGGCCCAGGCATGATCTCAAAAGTTAGTGAGTGTCTCTGCCGCTTCTTTTCCTACAACTGGGGTATGAGAAGGTTTGGGAAGGTCGGTAACAAAGCATCTGATCACTGAATGAGCTCTTGAAATTCCTCATAGGCTCTTATTATTCCTGCCCATTTCTTGGTCAGCCTGATTGTATTATAATGAATCTTTAGAGATACAGGTCAACAAAGAATGAAGAGTAGGAAGCAAATGAAAATTTAATTCAAATGCCATCGATTCAGACCAGGAGGATAGGAATTTTATTTCTCAATAATTACATTTTAAATTATACACTTACCTTTAAAATAAGAAATGTAAAAAATGATTATAATCTAGACAGTATCAAAGAGCTCATTAATTAAAAAAAAAAAGTAAAATGAAATTAAAACTTAGTCTAAGAGAAACTGGGCCAGAAACCAGGCAAGCTTGACATAGCCTTGAAATAGAGCGCAGCATGCTGGCCCAGGCGGAAGGAGCTGAACAGCACAAGGTGGCAGGAAAACCAGTTTACTCCACCCGCTGCCCAGAAAACTTTGAGAAACAGACCCAGGAAGCTTAGGAGAGTGGTTACTGCCACTCCCTCTACGGGCTTTTGTGTAGTCAGTTCCCATGGACCTTTGCAGGGAAAAGGGACTATAATCAGGTGGTTGGGTCCCCGCCTTTCTTCCTTCAAAGTAGATCATATTCTTTTTCAGCAGCCATGATACTCTTTTTCATAGATAACCTGAACAAATTCAATTTTCTGAGGCCACTCTATTAAAGCCAGTTTGCCTCTCTTGAACATCCACTAGCTAATGATGGATGTATATTATGTCATAGAGCAATCTGTCTCTTACACTTCAAAAATACAGAGTTGATGACAAATTTCAGACATATTTATATGGACACCGTAGTTTAGCTCTAACAATTATATTGCATTCAGTAGGTGCAAGGTACTAGGTGCTGTAGAATATTTAAATTTGGTCCCTGTGGTCGGGATTCCAGGCCATCAGTAACTAAGTACCATTTCTGAGATGGTGAGGTTTCCTTCCTGGTGCTCTGTCCTCCCTGCCATGTTGTGGTAGATCACTACCAGTGACCTTATTCTTGTGTGTGTGTGTGGGGGGGGGGTGGTACAGATCTGTTCTAATGAATTTTTTTCATATTTTTATCTTCAAGAGAATTATTAGAACAAGTTGCAGAATTTGAAAAAGCAGAATTTACATCTTCAAATAAAAAGGTAAATTTTGGTCATTCGAAGTCCATATCTTAATAGCCAGTATTTAAAATCCTCAAGTTGCCAAGAGGATTCAGAGGTAAAATGAAAAGAGGTAAAGTCAAGGAAAAGCATTCAATTCAAGAGCAGAATTCAGTAATTACCTCATATTTTCAGGCAAAATAAGAAACACTGTGGAAGGAACTGAAAAAATGCTTCTGTCTCCTCACTTGCTCATGCACACGTGCTCTCTCACTCTTCTCTCTTTCTCTTTCTCTCTCTCTCTCTCTCTCTCTCTCTCTCTCTCTCTCTCACACACACACACACACACACACACACACACACACACACAGAATCCCCATAGTTCATCCTACTCCCTGCCATATAAACTCTTTACTCAGATGATGCACAGCATGGGCATCCATCCTGGCCTGGTCTCTCCCACTCTGTGCCTTGAGCGGGTTGCCAGAGACATCCAAGCCTTGTTTGCCTCGTCTGTCGAATGGAGACAATCCTAGTGGTGACTAGTGACCTGCTTCTCTTTTTAATCATTCTCCTTATTTGTGGTCACCACTTAACATGGCATCATGTAGACGCACCATAAATGCTCCCTGGTGTCAGAGAAAAATGATGCTGAGTCCATGAACATACACATGCAAAACATTTTTCCAGTTATTCCTTTGGAATGTATTTCTAGCTAAGAAGTGTCAGGGTCAGAGGGCATGGATTCACCTGTTTTAACACGTATCGCTGAACTGCTAGAGTATTTTGCCTAGCCAAGCTCCTCTTCACCTGCAATGTAGCCGCACTGTGGCAGCTTTCCCTGGCTTGGGTTCATGAGGAAGTCTGTTTCACACCCCATACATTAAAATTCCTGTCCCTAGAGGCTGGGATCTAGATCTGCTCTGGCTTCGAGCACCTTGCCTCCTGCCTCTGTTCCCTCCTTTCCCTTCCATCTGAATTTATTTAAAAGGACATGGGAGGATGGATTCACTTGCATCTCTAATTTGTTTGGAGGTACTATGGGCCAGGCACTGTCCTAGACCCTGGGGCATTGCAGAGAACCCAACGCCAGAAGTGCCCCCATGGAGCTGGCATCCCAGTGGATATGTTTTCATACAGTGTTTTCCACTTAGAAGTACAAGTGTTGAGTGATAATCTGTGTTTTCTTCTGTGGTGAATTTGGTTTGGTTTCTTTATTTTGTGTCAGCCCATCATAGATACCATGAAGCCAAAACTTGTTCCACTTAACGACGGTGGAACCACGGAACTTCTGAACAAGGTAAACGTTGTGCTTGTTGTGAGAAAGGCAGACCCTCTAACTTAGCCCTCTCATGGCCTGCACAGCCGGAGGGTGGAGAAATTGAGGTAGGAGGTGGCTGATTCAGGCTTTGGCCCGCCAAGGGTAATCAGTCCACGGTAGTCCTTCTACTCTGTGGTTCCCATGGACCAAAAGAGGGCACCCACCTTCCAGAAAGTCTGAAGCCAGTCTTAATTGCATCTTTTCATGGTGACAGGAAGGGCATGGCGTTTTGGACAGTGTTTATTGCTGGCTATTTGAAGTTTATGATCTAAGATAGTGATAGAGTTTTTTATTAGATTTATAAAGATTAACTACCCATATGCACATATTTTTCATGACTCCTGTATTCTCAACATTGTGCTAGATGTTACTAGATTAAAAAAAAAAGCAGTGTAATGCTTAGCTTTTTGTCTCAAAAGCCTTATAGTCTCATTGAGAAGGGAGAATTAATATTCTGGAAACAGATAGGGGAATTCCAACCCGTGTGCCCCAGGGTGGCAGAGAAGACACCCTTCCGCATGGATATGAGTGGCTGAGGACAGACTTTGAGGGAAGGTGGTCCCTGAGCTGGGCTGAAGGCTAAAGACATTTAATTGTCAGAGGAAAGAAGAGAAAGGAAAAAAAAAAGAGGAAAGAAGAGGGGCATGGCAGACAGGGGAATGGGCATGGGCAGCAGTGAGAGGCAGAAGGCTGGTGTGATTTGGCACGGAGTGCAGTGCTGTCTGACTGGGCTGATATGTGTGTTGGAGCCATAGAGAGGAAGAGGACTGGGCTCAAAGCTGACTCTTAATAGGGAGCTGCTTGGAGCAAAGGCCTTTGGCCTCAGCTCAGACAGAAGCATCTAGGGGCTTGGGCATAGAGTGTGGCACTGATAAAGACCATGTTGGGGATAAGTACAGGTGGTATGTTGTGTCAGCCCGGAAAAGACCCAAGAGTTGCAAGACCAGCTAGATGAGAGGTGGCAGGGGAGGGAGACTGAGAAGAAGGCTGAGGAAAGAGGCCTGAAGGGAGCCTGAGAAACCCGAGAAGAGGCTTAGAGTCACAGGTGACTTATAGGTGTGGGGGCAGTGGGCTGGACGGGACCAGGACAGCACCGGCCACTAGGGAATGCAGGTGTCTGAGCTGTTGTTATGTCATTTAAATTTAATTTTACAATTAAATTTTTGAGTGAAACACTTCCAAGTATTAAAAACACTGTAGTTAAAATAATAAACCTCGAATTTACTCACGAAGGAAATTTCAAGACTTCAAGAAGAGAACGAGAAATTGAAGTCAAGGCTGAAGACCATTGAAATACAGGTAACTGAGAAATACTTTAACAAAAGTATTGAAAGAGTTGCTTACAGACTGAATACTGAATGTATGTTGTTTAAATCTGTTTATAGGCAACGCAAGCATTAGATGAGAAGTCAAAGCTAGAAAGAGCACTACAGGATTTACAGCTTGACCAAGGAAATACAAAGGTGAAAGAAGTTTTGAATGTAGTCGATAATACTGTAAGAATTCTGTGATGGTGGGTAACTGCACTCATCACAGGGATCCCTTTGTATGGCACAGAAATACAGAGTCACTAGGATGGACACCTGAAAAGATAGAGTGTGGCATGTCAATTATATTTCAAGTTTTTTTAAAAGGTGGAATAAGTTTTAGCTATCTTTTTCATGTTTTTCAAGTAAAATAAAGGTATAAACTTGAAGTGTTGGGGCACCTGGGTGTCTCAGACAGTCAGGTGTCCAACTCTTGACCTCGCTCAGGTCTTGATCTCAGGGTCATGAGTTCAAGGCCTACATTGGGCTCTGCATTGGAGAGCCCTTGTGGAGCTACTTTAAAAAAAAAAAGAAAAAGGAGAAGTCTTAATTACTGTTCATTATGCCCCTTGTCTTCGCCCCTCCCTGAGAGGGATGCCACTGTTGTCCATCTAATCCCCCTCCAGGAAAGGCCAGGGAGGGAGGCGGCTACAGGGACAGGTAGACAGCTCACATGCTTCACCTGTCCCAAGAGACCACTAGCACATAAGATGTTCTGAAGTTTATCTGTTTTCAAGTTCTTACCCCTTTGGTTTTGACATTCCAATTATAATGGGGGAAAGGAAACGAAGAAAGAAGGAGTTTTTAGCTAATTGGATTTGTGTTCAGTTTTATTATACAGAATTTATTATTAAGTTGGCTTTTGGTGAGTATGACAAAATAGAATGAACTTACCGGCTATGCATCTTCAAATCCACGTACGTCTGGTGGTATTCGTGTAATGCGCTGAAATCCAGGGCTGGGTCACCAGGCCTGTCTGAGCAGTTGGCTGAGTAGCACTCCACCTGTGGGAAGCTATCATGTCTGCAATTCTGTTCCTTGTGGCCTTTCCACTGATGCTAGATACTATGACAGATTTCACATCAGCCAGACTGGAAGAGTGAATTTTCAATGCAGCATTGGCTTTTCTAGTGGTACTGTCTTTGCAAATGTCTGTTAAACAGTCCCCAGACTTACTTAATTAGACTTTTATTGTTACATGTCTTTATGGAAAAATTGTATGGAAAATTTTAATATACAAGAGGAGAGGGAATAGCGTAACACACCCCTGGTACTCATCACTCAGCTTTGCTGATCAGCAAGGCTTAGCCAATCTGGTTTCCTGTTTACCTCTACTTCTCCCTTTCTATCATGTTGGTTTTTTTTTTTTTTTTTTAGGTTTTATTTATTTACTCATGAGAGAGAGAGAGAGAGAGGGAGAGGCAGAGACATAGGCAGAGGGAGAAGCAGGCTCCATGCAGGGAGCCTGATGTGGAACTCGATCCCAGGACCCCAGGATCATACTCTAAGCCAAAGGCAGATGCTCAACCCCTGAGCTACCCAGGCATCCCCCATCTTGTTTTTTGAAGTAAATCGCAGACATTACATCATTTCATCTATAGGTATTTTTTAAATAGGAGGATGATTCTTAGATGGCTAAAAAAAAACAAAGGAAAATAAATATGATTTTCAATCATACATAAAGGACCATAGATTTATAAAACACAGAGTTACACACTCCAAAAACAGCTTTATAGTTTCTCAAAAGTTAAACAGTTGCAAACATTTTTGGATGATGAATTTGATTTAAAAGCCATTTTGGTCTTTGTTCCAATTTTACTTTTCAGATTTTGGCAAAAGTAAAATGTATACATGCTTTCACTAGCTGCAATGAAGTAAAATCTTTTTAAAAGACCAGATTTTAAAAATAAGTGATGGGCAGCCCTGGTGGCTCAGCAGTTTAGCACCGCCTTCAGCCCAAGGCCTGATCCTGGGGCCCCGGGATCGAGTCCTGCGTCTGGCTCCCTGCATGGAGCCTGCTCCTCCCTCTGCCTGTTTCTCTGCCTCAATCTCTCTCTCTTTCTCTCTCTCTCTCTCTCTCTCTCTCTCTGTCTCTCATGAAAAAATAAATCTTTAAAAATAAAAAATAAGGAATTTTGTCAGTAGAACTGCTTCATTTTCGTATTTAGCAATTTGACCATTTTCCTATTTAGTATGTATTACTTTTTTCTATTACATATTACCTAGTTAAAAATATGATCTGGCTGTTTTTATTCTGACAGTGTGTGCAAACATGCATACCACATTAATACAAAAAAAAAAAAAAAGCTTAAAATCTTACAAACTTACCAAACCATATAATCAGTAAGCAATGATTTGGCTCTCTTAATGTAAATAGTGACTAAGGCTAGGTCTATTAAATTTTTGATAACAAACTATATCAGGTTTATTATTTTTCTGTCTACATCATTCAGAATTCTTCACTAGAATTTTTTTTTAACACGACTTCAAAAACAAAACTTGTTTGCCATCCCTACTCTGGGACACACAACCTTGTAAATTTAGGATCTCACCTTTCTCCTATTCCTCTTTGGAATTCCAGCAATTCATAAATGATATCTTACATATTTGGAGATCGGTGACCACTGAGCGTCTGCCGCGTGCAGCACACCATGCAGGACGGCCAGGGGAGAGCGGGGGATGCCAACCCCCTCCCCTCTAGGAGCAGGAGCTTCCCCCAGCTGGCAGAGGAAACCGGGGCGCACAGCAGAACACCTGCTTTCATGTCCCGATGTTGAACCACTGTTGTAAAACAGCTCCTAGCCAGGATGCCAACAAGAAATTATGTCAGTGCATGTATCTTTCATAGGATTTTATAAAAGCCCAAGACTTGAATGACTTGGAAAACACAGTTGCTGCTTTGAAGAGTGAGTTTCAGAAGACACTTAACGACAAGACAGAAAGTCAGAAGTCCCTGGAGGAGAATCTGGTGACAGCCAAGCATGACCTACTCAGGGTTCAGGAGCAGCTGAGCATGGCTGAAAAGGTCAGATCTGTGTGTGTGTGTCCACCCAGCTGAGGAACAAGTGTAATTCAGGGACATGTTGGAGGTCAGCTACAGATTTGCCTTATTTTTTTCTCAGAGTATTAGCCAGTACGTGTTAGAGATGTATCATTTCTAGGCATTGAGATTCTTCGTTTTGGGCGAGATCTAGGATAATAAAAAATCCCCACTCCTTCCTATGAATGGTAAAAGCCTCCTCCGCGGATAGCTTCCATGAGCTGCCCTGCACCCCCCATGTTGCCCGTCCCTCTTACAGCCTGGCACAGGGATGGGTGACTTCTCTTTTTCTATCCCTTGTTCTTAATTTCTATGAAATAATGTTAGAAAACTGTGTTCTGCAGTTTAGGGATTAAATTCTCAAGCATATTGGAGCTAAAATGTAACTGAATGAGAAAATCCTCCTCCTAGAGTACTGGCACCACTGGGATATGGGGGAAAGATCATGTTTATTTCACCTAAGAAGTAGTTTACTGTTTCAAACAGATTTCTCATGTCTAGGGCATAATATGTTCCGGTCATATGCTAATGTTGTATTTATATACTGACAGTGTTGCTCTTTTATTGACTTCTCCTTTGAAGCAATGTATTTTTAAAATTTGCATAGCCTTAATTTTGTATAAGTAAATTTTAAAAAGAAATCAGAAAATAATAATAGAAATGAGAAAATAATATAAAATATTAGCAAAATTAGAGCAAAGTGTACACGCTTATGAGATGTGCTACTTCTCTGCACTGTTCCGTAGTAACTGACTGACACTTTTCACTGTGCAGGAATTAGAAAAGAAATTCCAACAAACAGCAGCTTTTCGAAACATGAAAGAGATTCTCACCAGGAAGAATGACCAAATCAAAGACCTGAGGAGAAGACTGGCCAAGTAAGCCTTGCTGACTGTTGGATTTGCCTCGCTGCCAGGTTGACGTGTGTTCTTCATTAAATCTCAGTATGTGTCCGGGGAGATCAGGCCAGTGGGTACTTGCTGTCATTTAGTCTAGAAGCCTGCATTTGAGGAGAGCAGAGGAGCTTTGGCCAGGCCTTTTCCATCCTGCCCACAAGGGTTTCAGTTGGGTTCAGCTAGGACTTAGGCACACACAGCTACACTAGGCTCCTCTTGGCAACAGATCCTTTTAAGCAGGATATCAGGAGGGAAGCCCAGCAAACTTATAGGGCATCCCTGGGCATTTTTCCTCAGGAGTGTCCTTGTAGGAGCCTAAGACCTGGTCATCTGGTGCCTGCCCTCAGTGACAGTTTAGGTGCTAGAGAATGCGGTCCTTGTGGCTGGGTACTGTAGAGTGTGGCTTAGCAGCCCATGCTCTACATAGAACCAGGTCCCTAGCTGCCTGCTGCCCAGGGAGGAACATGTCCAGTTACAGGAACTCGGCGCACAGTTGAAAGCCTGTAGCAGTGGGCCCACATATTCACCACTCAGCCAGTCTTCCCAGCCCGCATGGACTCTGCTGCTCAGCCTCATTTCTGACCTCCACGGTTTGGTCTGGAAACCCAGCTGCCATTTTACCTTTATGAGGGCTCCAGGGAAACCACAAGGAAGGAAATCTCAGATCCAGTTCGTCTTTAGAGAAGGGGCTTTGTTGACCCAGTCCTCACATAGGCCTTTCAGCACTTCGCATCTGACAACTTGGTTGATGACCGAGTTTCTATTGTTCTGAGCTGTCATGGATCTAAGTGCCAGATCCAGAGATGTGGAGCCCGAAGGTGTCCTTTGTCCACCCTGCAGCAGGAGTCCCCTTGTATGGTCGTGACTGTCTCTAACTTCCACCACAGGTTTCAAGGAAACTCATTGGGTAACACTGACAGCATCAAAAAGTATCATGATATCATTTATGTTCTTTTTTTAAGATTTTATTTATTTATTCATGAGAGACACACAGAGAGAGAGAGAGGCAGAGACACAGGCAGAGGGAGAAGCAGGTCCCTGTGAGGAGCCTGATGCGGGACTCGATCCCCAGGCCCCAGGATCACACCTTGAGCCAAAGGCAGACCCTCAACCGCTGACCTACCCAGGTGCCCCTGTTTACAGTCTTAACTGGAGTATTAATCTCTTTCCAGGTACGAACCTGAAGATTAAAACTCAAAGAAGATCTCTTCTGGAAGCTGCCACACGTGAAAGTACAAGCTGTTTCACACCTCAGGCATGTATTTTGAAGCAGTTTGTTAATCTTCCCTCTCTTTATTTTTCTAATATATAGACTTTGCTTCAAATATTTAGAACTAGACTTCCTATTTTAGTTATGTAATTGAGAAGAGGGGACCTTCTGACTGATTCTGGCCAGACGTCCTCTGCCGAGTGCTCCAGAGTTTTAGTTTCAATGCAATGAGAATTCTTTATAGTAAAAAAGATGTTTAGAGTGGGAAGAAGAGCCTTGGCCTTTTACATTAGTAGAAAGAGTGTACACCGTTTCATTAAATGTTAAAGCTAGCATCATCTATTCTTGTGCATTCCCCCAGTGTAAAAATAAAAACAGTTATTAAAAGATAGTTATTACAAAATAAACCTTATTTTTCAAAACCAGATTCATTTTCTATGTTTCCTCATAAAAACATATGAATGCACTGAAAGTGTACATGCCAACTTTTATAGGCAGCATTTATATCCATTATAAGGAAAATTAATAGCAAACACGAGGATTCGATTAACTTCTGTCTCTCTAGCTAAATGCTGTAATTACCAGAGGATGGGGGGGGGGCATTTTTTGCAGCCAACTTATCATGAATCTGGATCACGGATGAAGAAGTCAGATCCATCCTGTACTTTACAGTTGAGAAGGTACCAAGAGTGAGAATAAATATAATCTTTATACTTCCATGTTCCAGAATATTCTCTTAAATTACGTGTTAAGGGGCAGCCTGGGTGGCTCAGCGGTTTAGCACCACCTTCAGCCCAGGGCATGATCCTGGAGACCCGGGATCGAGTCCTACGTTGGGCTCCCTGTGTGGGGCCTGCTTCTCCCTCTGCCTGTGTCTCTGCCTCTCTCTCTCTCTGTCTCTCATGAATAAATAAAATCTTTTTTAAAAAATTACATGTTAAATAACACTTTGGGGTGCTTGGGTCTTTCAGTTGGTTAAGCATATGCCTTCAGCTCAGGTCATGATCCTGGGGTCCTAGGATCGAGCCTCACATTGGGCTCCCTGCTCTGGGGGAGCCTGCCTTTCCTCCCCCACCCCCACCCCCATCCCACTCATGCTATCTCTCACTATCTTTCTCTCTCTTAATTAAATAAAAATTAAAAAACAAAAATAACACTTTAAGGTGACTTATATTCAACATAAAATCAGTTATCAGACCTAAGATTCAATTGGTGCAGGTGCATATAAATAAATAAACATAAATGTAAAATGTACCCCATTTTCAAGGGGTACTGATTATATTTCTATTGGTTCTGCTTTTTCTTGAGTGATTTTGGATAAGTCATTAGAAATGAGGCCTCAATCTCTGCAGCCATGTAATGCATCGGTATGCCGTAAGGATGAATAAGGTCCACAAAACAGTAATGCATCAGAAAGGACTGACTTTTATCACATCACTTAGTAACTGTTCACATTTCCAGAAGCAGAGTGTCACACCCTGAGTGCTGCCTGCTTAGAGAGTTCATCCCACTTGCACAAATGAAGATTTTGTTCACCAGGAAGTGTTTACTGATCAGATGATAAGGCTCATTATTATTTTTATTCAAGCTTTTAATACTAGCCTTGAATTTGTTGTCTTTCTTAGAGGCTTTATGTTACAATATCAGAGGAACAAGTGATAAAGGGTAAAACAGACAATGTCCCCCCAAAAGGACACAGAAGACAGTCTGGAAAAGATGAAAAGAGTCTGAGGAGGGAGGGGAGATCAAACCAGCCAGCATTTATCACATATCCTCTCCCAAATCCCTCTCACTGCTCAGGTCACTCATTCTCTGTTCCTTCTAGAGCTGTCACCCACCTAGTTCTTTAGCCCCAGATGGATATTCTCTCCAAAAATCTCTTCCATTACTTAAGGACCAGGTATTGCACACAATTCAGAAATAGAATATGCTGGTATATCCATCAGAGACTATCCCCTCATTCCCGCCCTGCAGCTTTCTGAACTTGATGCCCACGGGGAAGGAGGAAGTGTTGGGAAACCTGTATCGCTAAATAGAATTTCAACTTGTTTTTTGGTAGCAACTCTGACATATTTGGTAGAGTGTGTTCCAGTTCAATAAAAAATTTGGAACTGTTTCTGGAACCTTAAAACTTAACTATGCCCCATGTGAAGATAAATAAATATGCTATCCTTTGACATAAATCAACATGATTTATCAACATCTGAATACTTTGTTCTCTGCTTTTGCCCCTGTTTCTGTGTGTGTAACTCATGACTCTAGCAAAATGAAGTTTTAAATGTTTATTTTTTGCATATTTTCCTAGTTTTAAGATTTATCTCATTTGAATAAGAAAGCAAGCCTCTTTGGTCTGTATATTTTGGATTCCTAAGAGTATTGGCTCAAGTCTTGATTGAACTTTCACTGTGCCATTCCTGGCTGTCATGATGCACCTTTAGTTGAACTTAAAATTCTTGAGGAGAATTCAAGGCTCCTGCTAACTTATGACTCAGACCTTTTGTTGACAAAAATAAATATAAAGGGTTTTTGTTATTAATTTCTTCTCTTCCACATTTAAGCATGTATTTTTTCCTCATCATGTGGTACGTTGAGTCTCTGTTAACTAAGTGGTGATCATCTGCTTGTGTCTTTATTAGGAAAATACTGCTCTACATTGAATTGAATGTGTAATCCTGTTTCATAAAACCTTTGCTATTTGTTATTTCTGTTCTGATGAGTGAAATGGTCTGTGGAGGTGCTTACATTTTTTAAATGCTAGGTGCTTTTAGATAGAGTGGATCGCACACATTTGGCATTAATGATTTCCTTGGCTCATGTGTAAATGCTTATTATACTAAGGTTTTGCCATTAGAAGTTCAAGACCTGATCGGTCTCATGTAAGCAAGTCTTTTAAAATTAAAAGGCAAAATAGTAGTATTTAGACAATACTTTTTTTTAAGATTCTATTTATTCATGAGAGATACACAGAGAGGCAGAGACATAGGCAGACAGAGAAGCAGGCTCCCTGCGGGGACCCCGATGCAGGACTCGATCCTGGGATCCTGGGATCACACCCTGAGCCAAAGGCCAATGCTCAACCACTGAGCCGGGTGGCCTCCCTAGACAATACTATTTTTTTTTTTAAGATTTTATTTATTTACTCATAGAGGTACACACAGAGAGGCAGAGACACAGGCAGAGGGAGAAGCGGGCTCCATGCAGGGAGCCCGATGTGGGACTCAATCCCGGGTCTCCAGGATCACACCCTGGGCTGCAGGCGATGCTAAACCGCTGCACCACTGGGGCTACCCGACAATACTATTTAAATAACAATTTTCAACACCATGCAGAAAAAAAAGATTGCAATATTTTACAGATTAAAAAACATAATGCAAAATTGGAATTTGAAAATCCTTCATAATTTTTTCAAAGTAACAGTAGGATGTGAGATGGGTACAGTGTACCAGAAATCAGATGGAGGTTCCCCAACTGCCTTGCAGGGAACTGAGGAAGGGCCATGTGCTGCGGACAGACTCTTGGTCTGGAATCCTGTCCATTGGAGAATCAGAAGTGCTAGGGAGCCCAGTTGTGTAGCAGCATCCCTTACTGTGTGCTGTGGCCCACGGAGGACAGCCCCCACTGAGCTGCTCATCAGCACTAATGTTGCCTCTCTCCTTGCTTCAGCAAAGGGAGGGTTCTCCGCCCATGGGTTGGCTCTCCCATCTCGTATCCACTCCGGTGGGCCATCCCTCTGAGTCTTCTGGCTCCATCCCCACTATGCCATGGTCTCCAACCTCCCGGGAGGCATTGCAGCAGTGTGTTAGGACCAGCTTTGTGGGTCCTTGCCAAGGTGCCAACTCCTGAGTCACAGAGGAGAACCCACATACTGATAAACTCTTCTTAGCCGCTTCTGTTCCATCATCCACTGGACCAGCATCCTCAAGATCCGTGCCCACACGTGCTCTTCCAGCTCATGCCAGTCCATGTTCACTTCCTTTCCTAGCAGGACAGTCTCTCTCTACGCAGGCCATACTTGTACTCCTCCAAGTTGTCTGATTTAGGAATAATGAGCGGGAGTGGGGGCAGATCTTGGGGAGGACAGAGGTTATCTTGCCAGCGTTCTCTGTCAAGAGAGGCCTTACGTGATCTCCAGGTGAGGGGAGGCTGCTCGTTAGCCCGGGCATGAGCTGCTTGCTAGACCCAAGCATTCAGGGAGGTCTGGGGAGTCAAGGCTCTTGAAGGCATCTGCTCACATGGGCCCATCACACATCTCAGAGTCCTCGTCCTTCCTAATCAGAGCCTGGCTTGAGCCAAGGGGACTTGCCAGGCCTGTGAATTTGGTCCACTTCGTGGTCACGCCACTCATGATACCATCCTGGCCTGATTGTCAGCACATTCCATCCTCTGCATGTAGGAGACATGGGTCTCTTTCAGTGTGCCACGGGGCATTCCAATTGTCCTGGCATCTCCTGTGGTGACAGTTGGTTGACCAGAGCCTGATGCTCTCTTCCTCACCCCAGTCGTTCCCAGGTTGGAATTTGGTAGCCGGCCCAGCAGCATGCCAGCATCTGACGGGATCCTGTTGTCTGGCTGGCATCCAAGTCCAGGAGCTGGGCTCCCCTGAAAGCAGGCCCCGAGACAAGGGTTTTGGTTTAAGTAGTTTACTTGGGAGGGGACCCCAGGAAGCATGGTAAGGGCATGGGGGCATGAGGCAGGAAAGGGAAGAAAGCAGAGAAAGGGTGCAGGTTACCACTGTGGCCCACCGAGCTCCATCCCACTCAGGAGTGAGGAGACCAGGGCATCATCCACCTTGTTTATTGGGTTGAGTGTTGTTCCTGGAATGTTAACCTCCCAGCACTTCTTGTGCCTGGGCTGAGCATGCTCTCATGTCCCAGGTGAATGAGGCCTCCAGGTGAAGAGACACAACGACCCTTCTGCAGGGTCCTCCAGGCGAGGATAAGTGGCTGGGGGCGGGGGGGGCATTGATAGCATGTGGTCCCATGATGAACTGAGATGACAGAAGGTAAATGCAGCGGACACATTCTGCACGTGCTGTCAATACCTCTCAAAGGGTGAACTCAGTAGAAATCACAAAACCCGCTCACCCTTTTCAGCCCAGTGTGCTCACAGGGCCAGGCTACAGCTGCCTTTAAGTAGTAGTGGCTCTGAGACAAATAATATTCCTGGACTGAGCCCTCAGGCCAGACAACCCCCCCACCCCCCCACCCCCGCTTGGTGACTCAAGTATGAGGGCCCATTATGAAAACTTAGTACAAAAGTTTGCAAAATGATACCTCTGCTTCCTGTACAAGCCCTGCTTAGGCCATGAAAAACCTTGTGTAGGTTGTTCAGCACTGGACATTACCTATAAGTTAGTTGTTTTTGTTTTGTTTTTTTTTTTAAGATTTTATTTATTTATTCATGAGAGACACAGAGAGAGAGAGAT